GGCAAACTTATTAAGTTTTATTGTCGAGTTCTATATTTTGCATGCTTTAAGGTCGAATTAACAGTATATTTCTTTATCTGTTTTCAAAAGTTGCGAATTTTAAGTTGTTGAACGACATTGAAGAGTTCACTTATGATTCAAAGAACAGTGTATTTTACCGTTGTAATTCTCCATTTTACCTTTTAACGCTAATTTTTGTTTCGTACAAATTGTCAAAAAAATTTTTTTTGTGTTTTCAGTAACGTTCAGCCAGATTTTTCAGTTTTAAATAGATGGCAACTATAAGAATAAGCAGAGCCGTTGAGAATTTTGTGATTTTGCTCTTAAAAGTCACTGTTGGCTCAGTTTTGGAGAGCATTGTTAAGAAAGTTCTTTCAAGAGTAACAAATGCCTTCTTCGAAGAAACGCTGAGGCGATAAACCATTAACAATTAAGGAGATTTATATCAAAAAATAAAGCAGTAAAGAGCAGAAAAAAATGCGGTCTGAAGCAGTAGTAGGTTTAGTAAATTTTTATCAGCAAAGAGCTGAATCTTCTCTGATATAACTTTTATTCTTTCTACACTTCTTTCAGACGCCACTCAAAATGAGGAAACCAAAGATCGCACTGAAATGCGTAGAAAAACTGAAAAAAAAAATCCTGATTTACGACTGAGAATTGTAACTGTATCACCTCAATTCTAATTGCACCATGACTTTTTTAAACAAAAACAATAAACAGAAACCAATCTTTTTTTGATGTAAGCAAATTTTAAAACATAGTCACCTTTTGTGGTGTGAAGCGTTTTTAAAAATTCCTGTACGAATGCAGTCAATTCGCAAAGATGCTGTGAATCAGTAACTAAGAATGCAGCTTTATCACGCCAGACACTTAGATTCTCGTCATCTAACAGATCCACAGTTACATTCTTTTTCAAGTCAAGATTTAATTGCCCGAGAACACTAAAACAACATTAAATCAGTAAAACTTTTTTTTTTTTAGAAGTTGAGGTTAAAACAATCAAGTTACTAAAGAATACTTTCACAGTAAATTTGAATATTTAACAAAACAGTTCTTTCGTTTTTGCTTTTAAAAAGCTAAACTAAAAAACCTTTCAGAAAGGAAATCCATAAGATGTTCAAGTGGAAGACGACTTTTTGGATTGTGATGTACCTGAATGTAGATTGGATAAAACTGCATATCCTCAGCCGTATCCTGAAGAAAACAACAGCTTTTTAGGTGACCACCAATTTTTTATTCTTTTCAGTTGGTTATTTAATTATCAAAATATGTTAAGTTCAACTTTACAATACAACAAGTAATTTTACCAATCATTCGATGAAGACAATAAACTTTTTCATTTACAGAAAGATTTATTTGTTTTTTTTTTTTTTTTTTT